CCTAACATTTTTTCAGGTCTTCCAAATATTTTCATTACTATTAATCCGTGTGATTTACACCATCCACTCGCGATGAAATTTGCTGGTGTGGATCTTGACATTGATAATTTAATGGTCGATCAAATGCCCAAATCGCAAGATCGTGCAGCGATCGTTGCAAAACATCCTGTCGCCATTGCAAGGTTTTTTAATAAACTTATTACAACAGTTTTGTCTACTTTGATCGGTTATGACACTAATAAACATGTATCAAATCCAGGTGGTGGTGTATTAGGTGAAATCGATGCTTATTATGGTACAGTTGAAGAATCCGGTCGTGGTGCATTACATCTTCATATGTTGCTGTGGCTCATGAACAACAAAAATCCGCATGAACTACCCCAAGTGAGCAAAAGACGGGGTAAATGACTAGTCCTTTTTCTAGTCATGTCGACCCGTCATGCTTAGTCTTTGTCTCAAATTCGACGGGCACATGACTACTCCGGGTTTTTTGGCCGTCATGAAGCCCGTCTAAATCACGTGATTGACGGGCGACATTATACGTGCCTAGTCTAGTCTTTTTTTGAGAAAGACTCGTCCAGGACTAGTCTGAAGTCGGTTTATGGGAAACATTATTGTTTGAAATGCAGATTAGTCTTGGACGAGGACTTTTTGAGACAAAGACTAGTCAAGACGGGCGACAGCGACGCCCGTCCAAAATGAGTTTAAAATTGAAAAAGTAAGGACGTCAGGGACGGTACATAGGACAAGTTGCAGTCTTGTGTGTAGTGGACGAGTTCGGACTAGTCTAAATGGAAATATGTAAGGATGAAGATTAGATTCGAACATGCGTACAATGTATTACTTACCCATTGCTTAGACCATTGAGCCATATGATCAAGAAATTAGCTTCTACATAGTCATAATCATTCTAAGGTGCTATTTAATACAATTTTGCTTAAAGTTTTTTATGTTCACATTTAAGTAAAAATTATTTTTTACAGAATATGACATTATTTGGACAACATTAAAAAAATAATCCAAAAAGTTTGTATATGTTTTGGAAAAATATCTTTCGATTATCATTAAGGAAAAATAATTAGTTGCGTTAAAAAAAATAAATTTTAAACGTAAAAATAAAAAAGCTATTTATATTCAAAAGAAACCAGATTTCTTCATATGATGGCTTAGTTTTAAATTAAAATTACCATATCTTCAACTAACAATTAAATTAACTTTGCTTAATTTAAATATATTCTTAAATTTAAAATTATTAGAATTTATATTTAAAATAAGACAACACAAAATTATGACATAAAAAAATTTAAATTATTCTTCAGTTTTTTTTTAAACATAGTACATCTAATAATATTAAAAAATATAAATTAATATTCCTCGCTACGAGATGAATATAGTTCATTATACTTACTCCTACTTTTTTGTTAGTTTTGATATACTCTTACATTTTCAACATATGAAAATACAAAATATAATAAGATATATGAAGACAGGGATGCACAGAGCATATTATCTATTCTTGACCTCGTTGTTGACTATAGCAGACTCTCTGATTGTCATTCTACCTAGAGAAATATTTATAATATCTTGGCGAGCGATATAGTTTTAATATGAAAAAATGCGTCTTATTAATTACCGTAACCATAATATAATAGATCAATATTGATCCTCAATCCAGAAAGATTTGAATACAAGACAGGCAATAAAACGATTGTTATCCTACTATCTAGTTCATAGATTAAATCTATTTGATATTATCCATTATTTTTAACAAACGATATAGATATTGAAAAGTTTTTCTACTTGCATTCTTACTTTCATTAGTGATCAGTTTAAACGAATTAACAAGATATATTTGATTCAAAAAAGTGGGTTGTTTAGAGTTTTCAGACTAGTCTGACTAGAACGGGTGACATACTCTTTAAAAAAGGACTAGTCATGACGAGCGCAGACGACGCTTCGGACTAGTCTTGACTCTATGAAATACGTTTCAGACTAGTCAAAGTCGTGTGACATCGACTAGTTTCTGATTGTCTAGTGGATGGACGAGAGTCAATTTTGTATCTTAGTCTGTATAAATTGACGTCAGTCTATCTCAGTGTCCTAGTCTACCATCAGGATGCCCGTCCGGTTTTGAATACTGTCGGGTTGAATGTTCGAATCTATCTTCATCCTCTTTCTTTTAGTCTTCGGACTAGT